TCGGCCACTTGGGTCCAAGAGACTCTCGGATGTCAAGAGACTTTTTTCAAACGGCGCCTACATTCTGAGTTCCAGTCCGTCGGTATACTGGTAAATAGGTGCAGAGCGGACACAGGATAGACGGCGTTGTTTGCCATATACGTAGCTGCTATTTTTGACACTTGACACTTGTCTGGTGTGCAACTCCGGCTTTTTTCTGCAACTTTTGCAGCATTATGAATCCATCTTCAAAAAAGGGAGTTGTTTAGGAGGTTTTTCCATTTTAGTTTTCTGAAACAGCTGTGACCCAGACATCATCTCTTGACGGTCTTGTTAGGGCCTCAAACACACTGGCTCTCGACATGGACGGTGGCTCAACCACGCCGGTGTTAGGTGTTCAAGACGTCCCCAAAAAGACATGCCACCGTGGCACTGTGCAAGTTGCTTGTTTCTTTTGACAGGTGCCTTTCCCCTTTCGTACGATCGGTCTCAATCACTTGGGACATGGGACTTCTGGGACTGCTGTCACATGGGACTTCTGGGACTGTGTTTGCTCGTGTGTTTGTTCTTTCTGTTGCGCATGCTAGACTCTGCTACACCAAGCCTTTCAGCATGAACAATCACATGAACACGACGTGGACTGTTGCATGGACTGTTTCGCGCGTCTTCCTTGGCGGACATGCGGCAACGATCTTTTGTGTTCGAAGTTGTTATTTGCGCAAGAGAGCTATCACTTGAATGAACCTGGACTGGACCATTCTTGCAGAGGCTTGCTTCGATCCAAGCCTAATGAACGGTGTTTTCAGCCAAACAAGAAGTACGCTTGTTACACGCATTGTTACACCCCTGCTGCAGTTGAGGAACACCCCTTGCCGTACACGATTGCCATACACGATTGCGCACGGCGCGTGGCCGTCGAAGCTGAGCTTGGGCCTGACAGGCTGACGGTCAAACAGGAAAGACATGGGGGGTGATTCGTCTTCCTGGCGATGCGAAGCGTTGCCGTGTCTCGTGCATTTTTGGTACAATTGCTCTTGACACACCGATGTTTAGTTACACATACACACAACTACAGTATATAATATGTACACTTAGTAAGACTTGTAAGTGACCCCTTGACATGAGCCTTCGCCACTTCAGCGCTTGAGCTCACAGACCCGGACGCGACGCTCACAGACCTCGGTTCCCCAAGCGTCTCAGACTTTCGCGGTCTCGGTGTGGAACCCGGTTCTACCCGAAAGAGATGTTCAGTTTTGTGCAGAAACATCTTGATGTTTTGTTCAACAGCACACAGTGACAAGCAGACAAGCTGACAAGCTGAATGGCGAGGCAGTCATGGATTCTTTCAGTGACGATGCAGAGCTGTCGCCTCTTGGTGTCAAACATGTTTGTCTGTCAAAAGCGTAAAGAGAAAGAGATGTCACATGTCCATTTAGCAATCATATACTGTTTATATCTAGAAAAAACACCTCGTTGGCTGGCTGTTTCCACATGCTGAATCGCAATGTGCCTGTTTTTTTTGCCAAGGTTGTCGCAGATCCTGGAAGCAATGATTGATGAGGAGGCGGGCCTCGCTGATACTCCGGTGTTTCAGGACGGGGGGAGACACGCTCAACGGCACAAAAGATATGCCAAGATAATTCAATCGGTCGGGGTGCCACGAGCATTTTCCTTTTGATTGAATGCAGCGGAATGTCTCGTGGCAACCTCAAACTCGTCAGGAAGAGAAGCCTCATTTGCAGCTTGAAGAGACACACGTGGTGCGCGCCTCAGTGGTTTCCTGCAACGAGAGTTCCTGTGGCAGATGTCCTGTGGTGGCCATCACAGCAGCCCCTCCACTCACTTCCCAAGCTGCCGGAAAGGTGCAGGAAGAGTCGGACGGAGCTGGCAGAGCTGAGTGCGCTCAAAACCAGGCCCAGGCCCATCCGATCCATGGAACCGGGCCCAGGCTTGATGTCCAGCCTCAAAGAGGCCTCCCCAAGAAACTCCACCAAGCCATTTGGGGTCGTTCCATCCATACTGGTGGGGTTGCTGTAGGAAGCATTCAATCTTTCCGCACAAATCACACCACCTACTGCAGACTCCCTGACTCCCTGAATTGGCCTCACCGAAGTTGCAGGACGAAGATGGCTGCCGCACCCCAGATCGCTGTCCACCTGGCTATGTTACTAAAAAGTGGCCAGTCCAATTGAGAGGCCGTACTTCTTCGGAGCAAGTGTTTGTAGTTCACTTGGAGATTTCCGTAGTCTATCGTGACAGGTGAGAATGAGCCACATTCTCAGGCCCGCACCGCCCTCCGGTCTTGTTCCGGATCTCGTTGGTCTCGTTGGTATCGTTTCTCTCGTTGCTCTCGTTGCTCCGTTTGGGCCCTCAAAAGGGTGACCACATGACCTTCGAATCGGGCCTGAGGCCCGTAGAAAAGCTGGATCAAGATGGCGGCACCCCCAAGTCTGAGATATCAAAGCACACACGTTTGTTGATGTAAAGTGACATTGTGGCTAGATTGGAATATTGGGCATTTTTTCAGGTCCCACAGAGAGGCAACCAAAGTGAGTGAAGTCTTGAAACTTGAAACACATGACTTGGACAAAATCAATGTCCAACAGGACAGGCAACTCGAGGCAGGATGTCCAGCAAGGCATAGGAACAAACCACCAATGGATGGAACAGAAATTTGGCTAGTCACATACTTGACTATATAGTTGGTTCTGTATTTGTGTGGTATTTGACTGGTCAGTACCACATATTTACCTCATGTGTGGTTACATACTTGAACTAGTCACAAGTAAACATACTCCAAGGAATCGAGTCTGAGTATTATTTAGTCTGAGCTTGCAAGTGAGCATGTATGTTATGTTTCTGGGCTTTGAGCTCAGTCTTCCTTATTATTTCTTGTGTGTGTTCTTTATAAGCTGATCATTCTAGACCTGAATACTTTTCTAGCGCAGATGTTGTTTGTTTTCCTGTTCAATAATGATACAGGTTGAGGTTGGTCCGGCATGGCAGGTCAATGGGGCACTGCGCACGCCGAAGAAGAAAGGTCCGGCACTGGCCATGTTAGCACTCCGCGGGCGATTGTATCACAGTGGCTCTTCCCTGGCAGGTGATGTCGCTGTCCAGCCACTTTCATCCTCCAAGACCGTATCCCTAAAACGGTTCGCTTCTGATGTCGCTTCCGATGAAGTGAAGCATCAAGAGGCCGGGTTTTCTTGCAGAGTTTCCGAATACAAAAGACATTGTATTGTAGACAAGTGTTGTCAACGCTCTTTGGCAGTGACAGGGATTGAAGTCGCTGCTCAGTCTTGTCACAAAATGCCTAGCTGCTAGTGTGTTGTGCAAAGCGCCGGCAACTTGCAAGACATGCAAATCTCCCATTTTTTTGAGGGACCTAGGAAGCTTGTTAAATAATCCTTGCCTCCTACATGTGAAGCATACTGGTCAGGCAACCTTATTCAGCTTAATGTTGCCCATTCCACTCTAGTGGAAGCTTGTAGCCCTGAATAAGCCCTTGCACCCCTGTGCCTACTTTGGACAGCTGGCCACACGCCTTTGGACAAGAATCGCGCATTTACTTCGTGTGGGGTTATATACAGTTACTGTCTACTATATACACACATATATATATATAAAATATATATACATATATATATATACTATAAATATATATATATAATATATATATATACAAACTATACGGTAGTTCTTGTTGCTTTCATGTAGATCCTTCAGCCATGAATGATGAACGGTTTTCTGAGGGTGCCCAGCTGGAACGAAGCCGGCAGGATCTTGAGTGGGAAGTTGTTTGGCAGCAACTTGAAGCCCAAGGACAGGCCCAGCTTCGGCCTGTCGACAGCCGGCAGCCGAGTCGACAGGGAACGCGTCCATCGGGGTAGACCCATCTGACCGCCAGGATGGCGCATGGACTTCGGACCTCGAGGAATGGGAGTGCAGGTGCGGAAAACCGCCGTGCAGGTCCGAGTCGTAAGGGTGCGGAACACTAGCCTAACGATGACGGGTCCTTAGCATCGAGCGATGCTGGGCGATGCTAATTGGAATGGAGCAACTCACGGATTTGACTGCCATCATCGTTCTTCCCAAATTGACCCGAACCACGAGATAGCACCCTGATCGACAGATGGATGCAATGATCGTCAGATGGATGCAATGATGATCACCAAAAGCAAGGGGGAAAGGCTCTTGGCTCCTGCTTCAAAACATCGGGTTCATCGTGGTAAAAGAACCCTGACAGGTCTACTACATGCCACCTGGTGTATGGCGTGGACCAGGCAGGACGGGGGACCCGGAAACTCTTCTGTAGACTGAGGCAGCGCTCTTTCTTTGACCTTTTTTGTCAATTTGTTTTGCCGCTCGTTGGTTTGGAGCCAGCATGTGTCTTTGATCCCCTTTTTGCATCGATTCCATATCTGAAGACTGTTTCGTGACTTCCACTGTTCCGTGCGCTTCTCCCTACAACCAAACTAGGCCTCCATGTCCAGGGGCATGTCCAGATTGGAAACGATCGGAAACGGTCTGAAAAGGAAGGCGAATGGTCCAAGTCACAGGAGACAGAACAGATTTTTTGCCGCGGCGGTGTCCCAGTTCACGGAAAAACCTTATTCTTGCGGAAGGGTATCTGACAACGCTTTGCCAAGCGCACCAATCTGACAACGCTTTGCCAAGCGCACCAAGCCATGAGGTCAGCCAAAGTATTTGTTGGATTGGGGTTCCAACCACAAAAAGGTAATTCCTTTTGCCTGGGCAAGATGTCCGTATAAATGGCATCTTATCCACCATTCAAGGGTGGGGTGTACATAAGAGCCCCCAAGCAAGAACCCCCAAGGACCGGCGTCCCAGCCGCCCGGGTGAGGCAAGAAGAACCGGAGACTTGGCGCCGGGAGCGGGCCGGGGAGCGAAGCCAAGCGGCTGGGCGGGTCAGTTTTGGTCACGCCTTCAGGCACAAAGGAAATGCATTGGAGGAGTATCTCATCTAGGCCCCCCACCACTGAAGATGGGTGATGTGATATCTCAGCCCCACCCTCATGTCACTTCATTGTGTCATACAGCCATCATTGAGGTGATTGTTTCCTTGTTGGCCCAGTTTTTCATCACGATTCTTTTTCTGCCCCGCACCGCCTGACATCAGGGTCCGGGAGTCATCATATACGTTTTCATCACCCTACCCTGGTCGAATCTGAGGATTGATTACTTTGATTCGAAGAAGTTGGTGATGCAGCTAATTCAAGGTGCTTCGAATTCCAGCCAGAAACAACGAAAGCTGGGATAGCGAAAACATGACACGATGCATGATTACTCCGTCTGTAGGTGGCGTGGATATAGACCATAGCAGGAAGTACACCCAGAAGGACATTGTTTTGCATACTTTCTTGTTGATTTGTTTACAGTATCATTCTGCCACTTGCTACGTTCAATTTCCTTGATGCCGCCTCTACGCAAGTTTAATGCCCAAGGCGTTTTCTTATTTGTGTCATGTTGCTAGTCTTGCTAAAAACCAATTGTTTTAGGGATATAGATATAGGTACTTGTTTCTTGTGCTTTTTGCTGGGCATGTGGCAACCGGGGTAGCAACCGGGGGCACGTCTCGCATCCCGATTTGACCTATGGAGGTCACGCGAAATCGATTCGTCTCGCGTGCCCGAGTGGCTCTGGACTGATAGGACGATCTGGAGCTGAGGATAGGATTCGCAGGATGCCGTGGACCATTCGTTCTGGAAGGGGGACAAAGCATCGCCGACTGGCCGACCCCGCCCGCCGTCGCGGTCGCGGTCGCGTCGCATTGCGTTGCGAGCGAGATGTTGCGTATTCTGAGTGTTGAGTCGCCCTTTGTAAATGTCCAACTCAAGCGAGGTGCTGAACACCCACGTCATTTACGTTGTACAGGGACGTTTTCATCCAAGACTGTGATTGTGATGTTTTGCTTGGACAACGATAGGATGCCTCTATGTTCTTTTTTGCAGCATGTCCTTGGATGTTGATGTGCGAAGCCTGGCAAAACGCTTTTTCAAACGATGCTTACAACGTCCTGACATGGGTCTGAGTAGTCCCTGAAACAAGTCATTTTGATCAACTCAAGTGCCGCAGAACTTCCAACATGTTAGGTGTGACAGTGTGACATCCATGTCCCATTGGCTCTTTGGTTCAAGAGGTTGCCTTGATCCCGGCCGTTGTCCCGCCTCTGTGAAAGACTTTCGGAAGCAGAGGGTTCGGGGCACCCCCCCAGCATAAAATCATTGAGACTAAAAAGACTGTTTGAAACTGTCTTGAGGTCCACTTGCCTGCAAGTGTTTCTTTGTGGGAGCCTGTTTTGAGCAGTTGAGCCAATGCGAACGCTCCATGGCAACGCGAACGTTGAGGCGCTGAAATCCCTGAACCGGTGGGTGGGAAGATGGGCCGCCAGTTTGAGAGGAAAGCACCAGCCGACCCAGAATCTTGAGTAGTAGAATCTCTGCATCTTGAAGAGGTTTTTCCATCCCACATGGAGGGTTTCTGTGAATCGAGATTCTACATGTCTGAGCATTTTAAGTCGCATATACTTCGAATCTTAATGGCGCTTGACTCAAGTCTCCAAGCTCAAGTGAAGGAAGATCGATCATTCAGATCGATCAGGGCAAAATGGTTCAGAGTTCTAGGTGCTTCTGGGTGGTTCTGGATGGGATACGAAGGTCATACGATATGGTGATTCCATGAAGGTCATTGCGCGGGCGCCATGTTCTTCGTGCCAGGTGGGCGATGAAGCAGCTGACGCCGTGCGGCCAAAACGTGCGGCCATCAGCACCTGAGCGAGTCGTAACGTGAGAAGCAAGATGGACACGAGCGTTCGGAAAAAAACGCATGCATGTATTGAAGGAATTATGTATGTAACCACTACTTGGAGATCTTGGTCTGGGATCTTTATATGACTACTCTGACTAAATACTCCAAGTAAAGAGAGAGCAGGAGCAAATTCTTGGTGGATTGAGCGCGAGTCCGTACAACATGTTGATGTGAACTGCAGGTTCTGTGCATACTGTAGGTAGCTGGGCTTGGTTAATGTTTGCCTTTCCATTGCAAATACTTTCTTTCCTCTCTTCTGCCTGGAAAACGCACGAAACATGGTCGAACCCCTCGTTCGTCGAAACTGGTCGTAACTTGGAACTTCTCATCGAAACCAATCTTTCTATGTTCAAACACGCTTTGCTTCCTTGTGTTGGCAAGAACACGATACTTTGACCAGCAACGCTTTTGTCAAGTCTTAGTCAAGAACCAACGATTCGGATCCAAGAGCCGCGATCGCTTTTGAGAAGTCAAGGCCATTTGATTGTCAAGAGCCGTGACCGGTTGTTAGTCATTGAAAGAGAGTCTTCACCAATGCCAAACGAAGAGAGGGTTTTGGACACCAGAGATTGGCGGCACGGGATCACCGGGGGTGAAGTGTGTTCGCACCCCGCCATGGTGGACGAAACCTTGGCGCGCTATGCGTGTTGGATCAGCTCACAGGCAAGGTCCAGGTTCTTTTTTTCCAGTGGTCCTTGACTTTGATCCTGGCCTTTGCGGTGTCAGCCTGATGATTCAGAGGTCTGCACACTCAACTGATTCCGACCGGGAGTGTGGCAATCCCATCAACAAGACAAAGCAAACTTGATCTTGTTAGAAGCACCTTTGGTACGTTCTTTTTTTCCAAAGCTGAAGGTGCTGATTCCGGTGTGGCTCAAACGTGTACCAGTGTTCCAGCAATCCAATGATCAGGCGGCAATAGCCAGCGGCATGGAGCAGAAGGTGTTCGGGGGCCTAGGTCTGGTTGTGAAAGATTTCATTGCAAGTCAAACAGAAGGACTCAAGTGACTGCAAACTCTTTCAAGTTGCATATCAAGCTTTGGTGACGTATCAAGGCAGTCACATGGTATGTTTGAAAACATGTGTCTCCAAAAGTGTGTCCAAGCTGTGGGTCTCACATCAGCGCCCCTTCCACCAGCCACCCATCTTCAGTATTTTGGAGTTGCAAATGGAGATGGCACTGAAGATGGAGATGGCTCACATCAGCGCCCCTTCCATCCGTTGTAAATGGAGAAGCACAACTCGTTCAGTCTCGGAGCCCAGGAACGTGCCAAGCGACCGAACGAACGCCCAGAGACGACCGAGGACCGCCCTCTCTCGGCGCACTGCCGCTGAGTTCCGAAAGGCGCGCCATGTGGACTGGACATGTTTTTCGATTCGATTCGTCTTCTATTTGTGGCGTGGGCGTTTTTTTTCGCGTGCGGCCGCAGGGGGTGTGGTGTGGTTGTGGTTCAACGCCGAGCATCGTGTGGTGAAAGCCGTGGAGCTTTGCCACCGCCTGGTGAGAAGAGCCTCAGTTGGACAAAGGCCGTGGCCGCCAGAAGTCAGTGTGCCCCATGTACAACTGGATCTAGCTCATTGTGGCTGTGCCAATAGGATTTCATGGCTTTTGCGTTCTTCTTGGACATTTTTTCATTCTTGTTCTCTTGCTGATAGATGAAGCAGTGCGCAGTGCTTCGGCCACTTGGGCAGTGCTAAGGCAACATAGTACTAAAAACCTGAGTGCCCTTTTGTTTTGCATTACCTCATGTGACTTCAAGAACCGGCTCTGTGGCTTCTTGCTATTGGCTGCCAGTCGATGGGACTTCACACCGCCTGATGTGAGTGAAAAAACCGACACGGGTCACGGGGAGACTGCAACACAAAGAATTCGTGCTGGTCTCGAAATGGTTTGCCCGGCAATCAGACCGATGTTCCAACGTCTCATGTGCCAACGGTCCCTTCCGTCTTCCTGGATTTGGACGGAAAAGGTGGGAAAGAGACCTAGAACCTCCTCAAAAGTTATCTTTCTGGAATTGGCTGGGCCCATCTCTGAGATGTCTATGGTGACTGTCCATTAGGTTTCCCAAACATTTTTTTGTCCACCATCGACATTGGGCCTTGTTAGCAGCTGTGGGCTATTGACTGTTCCCGACTTGGAGCCTCTAAGTCATTCTGTTGCTTGAGGCATTGTTTTGCTCAAGGCATCCGGTAGTTCTGCGGTTGAACGCAGCCAGAGACTTTCCACTCTATGGCCCCGAAAGTGGCAATGAAAGCCTCAAAGTCGATGAAAGACATGAAAGCTATGAAAGCCTCCAAATCGATGAAAGATATGACACCTATGAAAGCTGCGAAGTCACGGATAGCAAACATGACGTTTGCATCTGTCTATCCACTCTACATCAACAAGGTTGAAAAGAAGGGCCGGACCAAGGACGAGCTTCTGCAGGTCATCCAGTGGTTAACTGGTTTTGGCAAAGCCAAGCTGCAGGAACTGATCAAGAGCAAAGTTACTTTTGACACATTCTTCCGGAAAGCCACCTTGCACCCACACGCCAAGCAGATCCGAGGCATCGTTTGTGGTCATCGAATCGAGGAGATAAACGATCCGTTGACCAAAAAAGTGAGATGTCTGGACAAGCTCGTGGATGAGCTGGCCAAAGGGATCGAGATTGAGAAAATCCTGCGGTAGGATGTTGCAAAATCCATAGCTTGACGCAGGTCTGACTCAATTTTCACACGAATGCGTGAAAATGGCCACATGACGATCTTCCGTTTGGTCGTCAAAAATGGTCCAACCCTGATTTGATGTTGTCCTCCTTTGTCTTCCCATGTCCCAGCGATTTGGGAAAACTCCGGGAACGGGGCCAACTCGCCAGGCTGAAGGGGAGCGCCAGCAGTTGCAGCGGCGCTTGGAGGTGCTTGAAGCCACCTGCAGGACGGCGATGGGCCGGGACCGGGGGGAGAGGCCAGGAGCTGGTGCCGTGGGCAGCTGTAGTTTGGTGGAAAGAAGATACAGGATGTTGGGCCATTCCTGGTAACTCCGAGCCCATCACACAAGTTTCAGCAGATCGCTGTTTGGTTGGAGAAAAACACCGGAAACCATGGGGTGCGGGCCATGGTGTGGGTGTGTGTTGATTCTTGCTCCATTGGCCTATGGCCCTATGGCTCATCACTAAAAAATGGCTGGGCTTGCCACATTAACACGTCAAGACCTGTGTGGCGCCGGTGATGCGTGGCGGAACATCTCGACATTGAGATGCCAAACTCAAGAAGTGTCAGACTTTGACTCTGAACAACCTGTAGAACTGTAGAAGTAGCAACCATGAATCTGGTCGTGGGGTGTGAATTGATGCAAATCAAAGAGCCAGGCATCAGGAACAAGTCCTCACTTTGAGACTCTCGAGTTCCAATCATGGTCGGTAGAACCTCCTTCAGAACTCCAAGTGGTGGTTCATACAAGACTTTGCCAAAAAAGGTCGGGAGTTGAGGCCGTTCTTTGGGAGCTGATCATGAACAAAACCGTCATATAAGACCCTGCACAAGCACAGGTTTGAACAGGTTTGGCGGATTTTTGCTTGGTTCTTGACTTCGGTTTGCAAAGCTTCGACTCCCGTTTCGATCAATCCAGGGGCCTGCTGAGCTGCGAGCACGGTCCCATCTCGCGCGGGGTCCGACGGGCACACAACACTTTTGCATCAGAGGGTTTCTCTGTGGAGGGTTCTCACCTGATGGGTAGGAGCAATGTTCGCTACTAGGGGCTCCTGGCATCGCTACCAGGAGCAAGGATGCTACTAGGGGCTCCTGGCCGTACTACTAGGAGCATCCTTACTGCTAGTAACAAGAAGCTATTAGATCCATCAACTCGGGACCGTGTTCGCGGTGCAGCGAATGACTGGCGGTCCCTTGCAAACTGGTCAATCACGCATGTATGGCATCCCGCTCGGGGTGTTTTCAAGAAGCAAGATGGAACCCGAATGCACACATGCACTCGAAAAAAAGGGCCACACATTAAACATAGGGAGACACTCTTGTGGGACACACTCTTGTGGGGCACTCTTGTGGGGCACTCTTGTGGGGCACTCTTGTGGGACACTCTGGTGGGGCACTCTTGTGGGACACTCATGAGGGACACTTGGGGGACACTCTCGTGCGACACTCTTGTGGGACACTCGCACTGTTCTAGGACACTCTTGTGCGACACTCTTGTAGGACACTCTTGTTGGACACTTTTGCGCGGCACGCTTATGGGACACTCTGGTGGGACACTCTTGTGGGGAAGCTTTGTAAGACACTCTGGTGGGATCTCGTGGGACACTTGTGGGACACTCTTGTAACACTTGTAGGACACTCTTGTCGGGCACGCTTGTGGGGCACTCCTATGGGGTGCTGTTGTGGGGCACTCTTGCGGGACACTCGTCAAGTCCAAGACAAGGCGTCTCGAGCATTTTGTCCGAGACTTCCTTCAAAAGTGAAGCGGGAAGTCTCATCAGAGCGAACACATCAAGCAGCGCTGCCAAGCAGGTTCGCAATCTCAGCCCCTAAGCCACGCCCGCTGACAGACCAATTCCACTGTCACAGCGACGTTCACCTCCACCAAACGTCGTAGCCTCAGTTCCCTGCGCCTGCCACAAAAATTTGACTTCGACACCTCCAACAATCGCAAAGTACTGCACCTGCCACAAAAAGTCACGACGTGACATCAAAAGTGGCACCGCACCACACGTTTGGAACTATTTCCACACTTTTTGAGCACACGCAATTTGAGCTGAGACGTCTCACGGAAACACAGCTTCGACGCAACAGCTGAAACGCAAACCCCAGTGTCGCAACGACGTCCAACACCTCCAACATACGACCTTGCGAACGCCAAATCACCTTCCACACTTCAACATGTTACGTTTCCACACGTTTCCTAGCTATTTCACACAAACCTGACACTTCATGCTTCCACCCAAAACCTTTTCCAAAAGCTTCCCCCACTGTCAACCCCATAGCGGCTATAGCGACCTCCTGCGAACGGATGCAGACGGCTGCCAACGGTTGCGAACGCAATGACAATGCGTCGTGAACAAGACTCTACGGCCAGACCCCCAAAGTTGAACGAGAACCCTTCGCTACGCTACGCATCCGGGAAACAGATTCAACATGGCCAGCCTCAGCGTAACATCCAAACCCGCAACATGTCGACCTAGGGTGTACCCACAGCCGCAGAGCAAACTTTCGTCTCACCCATATGTTGCCAATCATCTGCAAGTAAAGCGAACTTGATGTCATGTGAAAGCCTGACTTTCGTCCTTTCCTGTCCTGTCGTTTCCATTTCTTTCCCTTTCTTTCTCCATCCCCATTCCCTAGTCTGTAAACCATTCACGTACGCACCTAGGTGAGTCTTCAGTATGGTGAACAATTTGTTTCAAGTGACAAGATGATATACAGCATATATATATATAGAATTATATAGATATTTATACTTATATGCATCTATAAGGAAGTGTCGCAGGCTTCCCCAAATTGAAACTTTGATATTGGGGTGCCATAGCTCAAGAATAGGTACGGGTTCCTCCCGGTCTACAGGAATCGTTGAACAATCATCAATTTTTCAGCGCAAGGCTATCATTTTCGTTTGTGTTTTTGAGCAGCCGGACATCGCGGTGCCCAGGCACGACGAGAAATTAGGCAAGCCTCACTGGTGGAGGGAGACTGGATGAACATCACCATTTGCATGGAAATAACATGGGAATACTTTAATTTTTGGGTTCAGGAGATAACATTATATTTTTCAATTCGTTGTGCGTTGAAACCAATTCCGTGATGTTGGTAATGCAGTTCAAACACATGGCATTTCCAGCATTATTGAACAACCCCTTTACAATCATCAATGCGTGGCGATGTGTGAAAAGGTTGGCTCCAGGGCTAAAATTGCTTGCTGAACTCTTCGTTGGGTGAGGCTCGATTCATTTGGCATGTGAAACTTTTGTAAATACGATCAGGTGCTGACATGCTACATGCTGCAACCTGGTGAGAGAAGCATGATCAATAGTCCCTACTCAAACGGTTCGTAGAGCGAAAGCGCAAAAACCTTTTTGCGCTGACCCCGTATTACTTGCTCTAATACATCCTTACCCCATTCAGTACCTCCCAGACCTCGTTCTCTTTGATTTTCTTCTTCCTTTCGCAAAGAACAACAATTCTCCTTCGCTGACCGAAGACGGTTGCATGGCATCTGCTGCATCCTCACGCTTTCGGGAGATTGGGAGCCCTCCCTGCTGAGAAGCAGGTGCTACGGGTTCTTGGCAAGCAAAAGTGCGAGAGGCTTAGCTTTGATCGGAAGGCTCTGGAGAGGGCACATAGACGATCTGACACTTTGATATCTGAAGAACCCCAATGACACACATGTATATCTGTATGCCCAGTCGTGGCACCTGATTCCCTAAAGTTCTCAAATCCATTCAATCGCATTGTTTCAGGAACGAAACTTGATCCTTGGGTGCAAAAAGAATATGGAATCCGCCTTGAACACCCACACGGGTGTGAGGGGTTCTCCCAATTCCATGACCCGCATCAAAAAGAATTTCACTTCTTTCTCAGGTCGCAGTCTTTAGAGTTGCAGGCGCGAGATCTCCGAATGTGACTGATTTGTCTTCCGGTGGTGGTGGAAACATGAACGAACAACTGCAGCTAGGTTCGGTCTTACTTTTGAGCCACCTCGAAGTCTTGTTCAATTTTTTCCAGACAGAACCTGGGAGGAACTCTGAGAAATCAGCGTTTCGGCAGGTTTCGGTTCGCCTTTTTCTTGTGCATGTCCAACCACTTCTAAATCTTCTGTAGTTGCGAGGGCAGTTGGAGGACCTGTTGATGCCTGCGATTATAACTTTTTTCGCATGAATGGTGTTCATATCATGTCTGGAGCCATTTAGACCTTTCACCCACAGCTTCAAGGTGAGGATGACTCTGTCCCTCAAATTGCCTTTTCAATTTGACTCAGAAACCAAGGTGCCCAGGGGCTTCGTAAGAGCTGCACTGTGCGGAAGCCATCGCCCGTGCCTGGCCCAAGGGACGCTTGAGAGAACTCCAAGTTGGCCAGGATTGAAAAGCCCAGCCTGCGTTGTGAGAAACAAGAATGATAGAACCGATCAGCAGTTTTCCAGCCAACCTTACCCACTCTCAAAGCATACACAATTACAAATTACTAAGCCATACTAGCAACCTGGTGCTACCCTACCAGTCTTCGCTCGGAGTGCTTTAGGAGCCTTCATTTCGGTGCCAAATCCGGGTGGCTACCATGGTGAGACCTTGCTGGGCGGCTGTAGCGCAGCTGTGGGGAGCTCTGGGCCAAAGGGAAGGGCAGAGACCTTGTCAACCTGGGGAATTGGAGGCATAGCAGGCATCTCTACACGCAACGCTGTTGTTGGGATGTTCTTTGAGACACATCTTTCTTTTTGCTAGAGGTAGAGACAGGATGACTGAAAACCTTGGTCGAATGGTGAAGGTGTTTGTTGGAGGCTCTGTGCTTGCCTCCAAGAACGCCACATGTTCCACTCGGCGCGGTTGCGGAGTGGAGTGTCGCCAGAACTGAGGCACCCCCCCTTCTTTTTCTTTCCCCAATGCCAGGGCTCCTCTCTGGAGCAAGGACGCTACTAGGGGCTCCTGGCATCGCTACTAGGAGCAAGGACGCTACTAGGGGGTACTTCTCTCGACACTCTGAAGCGTTCCCCAGAACTGCTTCCGCAGAGGAGTGGGCGCTTGGCTCTACATCTTCGTGGACTGCATCCTCATGGAACTGGGCCGCTCGTTGGAGCCCTTCCGCCGGCAGGATTTGACCACAGGCCAATGGCTGGGCTTTGCTCCTTGGCAAGTCGAGGATGGATCGGAGAGAGACACGTCCGTCTTTTTAGGGGTCAAATCGAATGAGTTCTTTGGCTGGGAACTTGATCTGACTGGTGAGTTGCTGGGGTTGTGGAGTCTTTGGTTTGGTGGTATTACTGTGGGGTGTTTGGTTGAACCTTCCAATGTGCCGGGGTGCTTCAAGAGGAGTTAGAGTTGTTTGCTCCAAGCTTCTTTTTGCTTGTCAAACCCTTTTTGTTGCGCTTTCAAGTCCGGTGCAATATGACATGTGTACGCTATTTGTATATTATCACACATACGCACCTGCCTGCAGTCTAAGTCAACACGGGTGCCATCAAAGTCCAAGTCAATGATCCTGCAAAAAGCCACGCTTTCCAACCTCACCCCAAAAGCCCTGCTCACCCAGTGGTCGAACCTGGCCCATTGTGGTCACGAGGCGGCGATTGGCCTGGGGCTGCTGCTGGTGGAAGGCATCCGCGCCTTTCAGATGAGTTTCTCACCGCTCTTGATCCGGCGCGCCAAGGAGCTGCAAGGCGTCCAGGATGGGAGGAGAGATGTCGATGGGCTTGCAATTCTGTGGAAAGGCAGGTGCTGTTGTGGCTTGCAGACTACTAAGATTGCTAGCATGAGAGGCCAATGATGGCGTCGACCTAAAACCTCTTCTACCGCATTAATGGTGGTTTCAAGGCTCCATGTCTGACATGCTTCAGGTGGCCCAAGCCAATAAACTCAAGAAAAATCCCCAACAGCTGGGCATGAATTCGGTGATTAGACAATAGCAACATATGGAAACGTGCGACGTTTGCAAGTCTATTAACAAGTGGCACGTGTTTGCTTAAACACTCTTGTTTTCAAAAGTAGTCTTTTGCACTGTGATGTGCACGCATATCAACATGGAAATACGTCAGTGTAGCACATGTGCCCACGCATGTGCAGGCACAACAACACCGCAACAAGCACCAGGAAACCTCTTCCATGTCACTGGAGCCCACCAGTCACAGCGCACGACACGTTGTGACCAGCATGACGCCTGAGTCAGCATGACAGCCGAACGCCGGCGTGAGACCACGATACACCCACATCTGCGTAACAATATGAATCATGCCACCATGTCTACATGTTTGCGTGACAGCATTCTCTATACAAAGCACGCCGCGTGTCAGAAGTATGACATATAAGCAGGTTAGCAAAACCGCATGGTAGCCTGACGGCATGTCAACGTGTCAGCTTGACAACAGGCCAGAATCATGATGTGTCAGTGCCACGGCCTGACAACATTATCATAGCGGCGTCTCACTATATAGCCTGCATAGCGCTCTGGAGCTTGTGGGAAACTGCTACCAACCTCTCGAACCTGCTCTGCAACTTGCTCCAGAAGTCTGTTTCGCGACCTCTCGCAACTTGCCCAGAGGCTCCGGCAGCTGCCAACTGGCTCCGGAACTGGCTCCAGAACCTCCTCCAACGAACCTGTTCTGGAACTTGCTCCGGGGACTTGCTCAGAACTTGCTCCGGGGACTTGCTCGCGGAACCTGCTCTGGAAACGGCTCCAGAACTTGCTCACGAACTTGCTCCGCAACCTGCTCAGGAACTTGCTCCGGGACCTGGTCCGATGTGCTCCGAGGTCTTTACTATGGGTGAGACCTCTAAGCTCCGCTGCTAGGGCATAGAATCCAATTACTGCCTTGGGCGCCCACTGGACTTGGCAGGCGACTCCCCCGTGTGGGAGCTGCTGCTGGCGCCTTTCTTTGTGGCTGGCTTGGTCTCGGCCACCCCAAGAAGACTCTGCAAGAGTTGGCTGTTGGTGGCTGGGACAGATGTGCTGGTTGGGGATTGACGACTTGTGTCTTTGTAGAGAGTTTCTCGCAAGTTGGTAATGCAGAAGATGCACACTTATGATTGTTCATGATGTGGAAAATACAAGCGGCAACATGAGCATCACCCCCAATCGCTTCCAGGACTTGATGTGTGTTTTTGGGATTCGTTTCTCTTTTTTTCAGGTTAAATTTTTGCTCGAGGACTTTGCTTTGCGGGGAAGTGACCCAAATTCGAGCCAGTGGTGCCACCTTCGCGGCCGTCCAACGAATTTTTACGGAGCGACCGGTGGTGCGAGTTCGACACAGTTTCTGTGAGTCTTTGGACACAAGTGCCGGAGGGAAGCTGACGACAGTTCTATTCCATGACAGGGAAGATGCCGACGAAGCTTGGGCATGTGGTTGTTCATGTCTGAGCTCCATGGCCGTGCCTTCAATGGCATGCTTTAAGTCAGTGGAGAGACCAGTTGTGGAGGAGGCGATGACGATAGCCCCAGGCATCGCTTACACTTTCTCCTCCAAGAGCAACAACAGGCATTCGACGTGCGTGAAGACAACCTTGTTGACCAGCACTCCCAAGACACCAAAGGGGGTTTTCAGTTGGTCAAGACTGCTCCAAATCCTTTGAGACAGCCACTGTGGAGTATTCATCTACATAGAGTAAAGCATGCTAGACATGTTCACTGCAAGCCTCCTATGTTGCCTTCAACCCCCACCTCCGGAGGGGAGCACTCACACCGACGTCCGGCCATGTCTCAGGTGGCGGTGTTGATCCCTGGCTTAGCGCTCACGGCGTTTCGGCAGACAGACCGGTCTTGGGTCGGTTTGTCGAGCGTCGAGAAGAAAGGTCGATTTGCCGACTTTCCCAGTGGAAGTGTTTAGGTCCTATTGGGGGTTAACTCGACTGTGTAGGAGAACTCTTGCTCTTCAGCACCCGTAGGAGTGGGTAAGGGACAAGATCGTTAATCTGTGAAGATCGGTGTCTCTCCGCTTCTTCGGTGTAAGTGCCTAGCCGAAGCTCTCTGGCTCCTCTGGGATGGGGGTATGATACATATGTATATATATATAAGTGTATATAGTATATAGTTTGTGTAAAGACATTATTGATATACCTATATACAACAATATACAACATATAGAGTGCTTTCTTGTGTGTTAAAACAGCGCAAGAGTTTCTGCTTTTTCATGGAGCCAAGGTGCCTATGATGCCCTACCCGTGGCGACAGGCCTGTCTTGAGTTGTTGGGCAGACGGGTCAAAAGTTAGCCACCAGAAGAGCAAGTTTTGCTAGTCCCTGGAAAAACTGTTCGACTGTTCTGCAGAGCAGCAGTCTCGCTGCCCAGCCCTTGAGATTCATGGACCTGACAAACAGATCATGTAGACTCTCGATGAATAAACCTGAAATTTGGATTGTAACACTCTTCATAATGGGGGGCCCTTATCAATCAACTGCATTCTGTCTTTCAGCCACCCAGGCCACTGACTTCGGAGTGGTGCTGGGCCTTGGCTGGGGCACCGGCTCCGTGCTGTACTTCGCTGGGCGGGGCCTGGCCGGTCAATGGCCAGAGGCGCAGACGGAGATTCCAACCGTTCCAGCGCTGACCCGAACACCACCCGTTCGTAGCAGCAAAGACCTCCACCCGTTCGTAGCGATGGCCTCCACCCTCATCGACGAGGGTGAAGTAAAGGTTTGCTTCCATCGAGGAACGAAGCGAAAGCAAAAGGCAGCTGTGTGAAATCTCCACGGCGACCTGCCGAGTGCTGATGCAGGTGAGCCCCGACCTGCCTGCAGCAAGGATCAAACCTCCTGTGCAGGAGAGTCGAGGGCAGGGCAGTGTGGTGAATCCGTTGAGGTCCACTCAGGTTCACTTTAAGATAGAAAGCAGTTGGCAGTGATATAGACGAGCAAGTAAAATATTGACTTGCAAAGTTAAGGCAGCTGTGACAACGTGGTGGTTTCATTGGTCTATAGATAGAGGTTGCCCGATAGAAGTTCATACTCCCTCTAAACATTGGTCATTTGAGGTGTTGGGCAGCTTCGTTCCCTCTTGGCATGTGTTTCGTTGTGCGGACTACAGTGGGTTTGAGCACCCGAGTCGAGGAGCCTCTGGCAACGGCATAGTCTGACGCTCCGTTCCACGGTGGGTTCTCGGTGAGTCGGGGAGTCTTGAAGCGGAATCACATGCTCAAACGATGTGAAGGCGTCACGGAATTCCAAGTGGTATAACTCGTTGATTTCTTCTGGTTTTTGCTGAGCGTCCGTGTTCGACTGGACCTCGAGTCGCAACGCAAGGGCGACCGGCGACCGGTCCCTGGTTGGTGCTCTGGTCGTTTTCGACTTCCCAAGCTGTGCTGAAGGGTTGCAGATGACAACCACCTTGGCACGCAGCGTTTTGCAGGTTGTCCGTGAAGCTTCTCAGAAAATGTGCCGTTCGAACCCATGGCATGAGAGAACACCGGCATCATCAGCGAACGCAGAAGGGGGGAGGAGAAGCCGAGGAGAAGCCCACCCGGTCAGCCATTTTCAGACATTGATGGGGTTGATCACTGAACTCTGATCAGTCACTTCACCAGTTGCTGGTCATTTTGTTCAGGGTTCATATTTGACTGACTGCAAAAAAGGCTGAGCAACAGAGTTCAGGCCATGGTGGTGGCTGAGCAACAGCGGGAGGAGTTGGTCTGGTGCCCCAGGAGAGTGGGATTTTGCCTCAAAACCACTCCATGAAAACAGCTCGTCCCTCAAAACCTCGACAGACGAGGTCGACTGATTCGACGATTCGACGGACTCCGGATTCGGGTCCTCCAGCGCGCCCTCGGTCGCGACTCTCCACACCAACGATCCGGTTGGCGTAGACGTAATCGAAACAGCAAACCGGTGGGCAAACCACGTGAAGTGTCCGGAGGAGAATTGGAGTACAAAAATCCGAAGTGCCAAAAAAACGAAAAATCGCTATTCTTCTGTGCGAAGAATCCGCCTTCAGTATCCTTCGAGGGTCTTTAAAAAGTTCATCGCTTGACATCAGTTTTGGGTGGAGACCATCCGCCATGATTTCAGGTGTTGGATAGAGGCTTCTGGGCCAGCTAAGCATGGGACATGGGACAATTTCCAACCATGCCAAGCCTTCCAAGCATCAAGCAGGTAGAAATTCCGAACGAAGAATCTCTACGTGGTCGGTAGAAGCGCTCAGATTTGCAAATTTAATGGATGAAGTGCGATCACATAAAGCCAACGAAGCCATCTTTCCTTCCCAGCATTTTCAGTGGGTATACAGGTTCCTTGTTTCATATTGCCCATCATCCTCAGTGGGCTACTGTAGCTGAGTCGTTTCAAGCTGGATGCTAGTCTCGCAGCGCACCGACTGCTTCAACCAACATTGCTAGAGGCATTGCTAGACTCTTACATTGCTAGACTCTTCGTTGCTGGAACATGCAAACAACCAGCACTTCACAAAAAGAACTTGAAAAGAACTGGATACAAAACGACCGTGATTCTCGCTGAAATGAAACGACCACCTCAGGCGAGGACAGAAACGGCCCCATCGCCTATGGCTTGTGAAGAATCCAGTGCTCACAGTGCTGCAATACAAGGTTTCAATCTGGTGGCAACATTTGTATTGTGGCTTTGCATCCACAAGAAATCCTTGCAAACTACCCTTCGCCAAAACCAAAGATACCCCTCAAAGCTTCTTCCTGAAATGATAAAGGCCCTTTTGTATATATAAACATATATTTAAAACATCTTTCATTGGAGAGAGCCTGTTTTCAAGATTAGTAGTCAGTCCCAAAAGTCAAAGTCAAAAAACAGTTAAATCAGAAAGTTTCAGAAAGTCAAAAACGTCAATTGGCCCAGATCCGACTTTTGTTTTGACTCGTTTTCCGACTCCTTTTTCGACTTTTTTTGATCTGTTTGATATTTTTTGGCAATTTTTCTTGGACTTTTTCGAGTTGTGATCCATTTTTGACTTTTTGTTTGAGATACTTTTTGATGTTTTTTGTAAACCTTTTCTTGACATTTATTTTATTCATTTACTTATTAATTGATTTATTATTGTTATTACTATTATTTTGTTTATTATTGTTATTATCATTTTTTTTTTCGAGTTGTGTTCCATTTTTGCCTTTTATTTTGACATTCTTTTTCCCCGACTTTTTCACTTTTCCATTTGACTTTTTTTTTTACGTTGACTTTTTCATTTATTATTATTATTTTTTTTAAATCAAGGATTATGGCCTTACCATATGCAAGCATTTTTAAACCATATATTACTATATGATATGATTCACTCTGCTAGCCCTAGCATAACTCCATCGACCATACCCTTGCCCACCAACAAGAACCGACTATGATTGGCCCGGTCACCTGGCTTTGATCTTGACCTTTGGACCCTGTGATGCTTCCACATAATTTTTCTGTATGGTATATAGTTGATTAAAAGGTCGACACGAGGCCTAGCTTCATTTCCGTAAGAAGGAATTTAGATCAACCACCCGATGTGCTAAGATGCGCTAAGTGTGTCTCCCCCCAGATGTACCAGGAACTCCCTTTGTGGCCTCGCAACAAGGATCTGACCCCTACCCCCCACTCAGGCTCGACGCTTCCAGGGCTTGGAGGAGCAAGTGGCCAAGATGAGCCAGGAAAGCCGCCGACCCGTCGGCCGGTGGTCACGCGACCCCTTCGGCGTTCTGGGAAGGAAGGCGTTTGTTCGGCGGTGTTTCCAGCACGATCACGGAGAAAGGAGGACGTCAGGTCGATGTTTCGCGTGGAAGGGACGAGGAGAACGCTGAGCGACGAACGAGGAGTTTTGCAAGACTTGGAGATCAGCGGACGGGAACAGAGATCAGCCTTGCAAGGTTCATTATTTTTCCTGCGGGAATTGCTTCATGGTAATGTAGGATCCTATTTGAAGGTCCATGTTATTCGGAGACTGAAGGACACATGGCTTATTGATCAATGGCACGGAGGAAAAGATCACCGACTTTTGCTCATGTATATGTGTCACATTGATATCTATAGACATCCTAATGCAGAGCTGCACGGGGCTCAAATCCACTATAATACACAGTAATAAACTTCGATTTGCACGATGCTCTGAGACTTATAGTGAGCACCAAACAAACGCACCCCAGTTCGTTCGACACGAGCGAGCGAAGGAACGAAGGAACGAACGAACGAAGGAAGGAAGGAAGGAAGGAACGGCGCGATGACTCGAAGGGGTTTTCAACGCCCAGTCCCAGGACTTTTGTGTCCAGCTGCAGCAGAGCTGTCGCTGTCAAGAGGTGCGTTTGGTGGTGTGGGTTTGGATTGCGGCTGGCGGGGAAAACGGAGATGTCCATCGGTCGGGAAAACAGAGAAGCATTGATGCAAATGGGGTGAAGAGTCCGCAGCTTGCTTGCAGTTCAAAGAGGCATACAGGCTATTCATCCTCACCCAAGATTATTTTGTGCATTTCTGTGAACCTACAGGTCGATCCACTGGACGGCCCACAGCCGAAATGATCATGGGATCCAAAAGCCACGGGTTTTGGGCATGTTTTGCACATCTCGATTCGGGTTTTTGAGTGAATCCGTTCAGTGGAACATCCCAAACGAACGTATAGGCTGAGACTTCCTCTGGAAGTCGGCTCTGAGTCGGGACCACGACGGTCGGACGGCGGTCCGCGACGGGTTCGCCCCCAACGCTGGACGTCGCATGTGGTGGTTCTGCCAGGCCCGAACAAGGCTTGACCAGTCCTTAGTTGGAGGATTTCCCAGGATCCCCAGACTTCCTGCTACTGTGTACAGATGTGTACAGTAGCATGCCAATTTTGGTGTATCGGTGTGTATCTTGATCCTCTGAAGAAGCTACGTGGGGTTCCACATGCTTGTGCTACATGAAGAGAGCTTTTGAGGTACAAACTTATGTTAAGAACTCCTTGAACAAAGCCGGGTCAACATGCACGAACTCTGAGGACCCTTTTCACTTGAGTCGAGCCTTGCAGATATGGAATGTTCCATCGAACCAAAGAACGCTTTTCGCAGGGCGTAAACATAAACCCTTATATCCCAAGATGCGTTGCGGCCTTTCTCTGGCGCGTTTCTCCGGCGCGTCTCGACGCACGCTCCCAAAAGCAGCGGACGGACACCGTCGAAACGGCGGGTCCACGGCCCAACACATCGAGGGATCCCAACGGCTTGGCCTTACTAGGAGCCTAGGAGCAAGGAAGCTACTAGGAGCAAAGGGCATCGCTACAAACGGAGCAAGGAAGCTTTTAGGGGCTCCTGGCCTTACTACTAGGAGCAAGGACGCTACGGCCTTCGCCGTCCTCGACGCTCACTCTTTCAGGTGGAAAGGCCCGGTGCTGAGCCCGCGGTATGTGAACAGCGACCTGACCTGGGAACAGCGACCGGACCTGGAGGAATGTGATCCGCCTGGAACAGCTCAGACCATTTTCTGGCATGCTTTATCCTGACTAATGAACTGACTCTAACCTTTCGCAGGTTACATGTGCAAGATGGGAAGACTAGGCGATTTGCTGATTTTATTCTCTTCACTTTCACCACCTACATCAACAAGACTCATGGCCACAGTGAATTGACCTGCTACCAGGTCTACCGGAAAAGGATTTCCAGGTTGACCACCTGATCCATTGAATCAGCGACGGAGTGGGGAGACCCCGATCGACATGGCGACAGACTCGAGGCTTTGCGAGGAGGCACGGAGCGAGACGAGCCAGGAGCCCGAGCGGACGGCTCGTGAGCGGACGAGGGCAAAACCCATGGAGATGGAAGATCCCAGTGTTGTTTTTCCCCAAACAGTTTACTGTTAGGGGTTCTCAATTCTTTCTTAAGATGTGTCCGCCCTTTGTGTCACTGCTGGTGTCCGCCCTTTTCCGCTGGCCATGTAGCATTTCTATTCATTTGTCTCCCGGGTCTGTCACTGCTGGTGTCCGCCTTGTCTCCCAGCTCTGTCACTGTTGGTGTCCGCCCTTTTGCGCTGGCGATGCAGCATTTCTATTCATTCCCCACAAAGAGTTTACTGTTAGGGGTTCTCAATTCTCTCTCCGCTGGCCATGCAGCGTTTCAATTCATCTCCCAGGTTCGGCGCCTGCTGCTGGTGTCCGCCCTTTTCCGCTGGCCATGCAGTGTTTTTATTCACTCGTACTTCGCCAAACAGGTTACTGTTAGGGGTTCTCAAGGCTTTCTAGGAGTGTCCGCCTTGCGTGTCCGCCTTCCGTCCGGCTTGTCTCCCTCTCCCTTCTTGTTGGTCACTGTGTCCGCCTTGTCTCCCTTCTGTTTCCCTTTGTCTCCGGTCTTGTCTCCCTTCTTGTTGGTCTTGTCTCCCTTCTTGTTGGTCACTGTCCGCCTTGTCTCCCTTCTGTTTCCTTTTGTCTCCCTCCTTGTCTCCCTTCTTGTTGGTCACTGTGTCCGCCTTCTCTCCCTTCTGTTTCCTTCTTGTTGGTCATTGTGTCCGTCTTGTTTGTCACTGTGTCCGCCTTGTCTTCCTTCTTGTCTCCCTTCTTGTTGGTCATGGTCTCCGCCTTGTCTGCCTTCTTGTCTCCCTTTGTCTCCGGTCTTGTCTCCATTCTTGTTGTTCTTGTGGGCCACTGTGTCGGCCTTGTCTCCCTCCTTTTTCCTTTTGTCTCCCTTCTTGTTTTCGTTCTTGTCTCCCTTCTTGTTGGTCA